CAGCGCACACACAGCGCACACACAGCGCACACACAGCGCACACACAGCGCACACACAGCGCACACACAGCGCACACACACACACACACACACACACACACACACACACACACACACACACACACACACGCAGCGCGCGCACACACAGCGCACACACGCAGCACACACAGCGCGCGCGCGCAGCACACACACAGCCATCGCCCGGAGGCGAATGCCGATGGCGCGGAGGGACGGGCAGAAAAGGGGGTCAAGAAAGGAAGGACGCCTTCCTCCGAGCGCACCTTGATCGGGAAGAGGGCCGACTCGAAGGCAAAGAAGGGCAGAACATCCATCGGGGCCTCATGACTCTTGTTATCGAGCATGGTGTTGAAGAGCGACGTGAAGAACTGGGTGATCAGTCGCTTGTTCTGCTTGCGGTACAGGCGGGCCACCGGCATCGGGAAGGGTCCGAGCGTGGCCACGGTCGGAGTTGACGGGCCCGACGGCGCCGGGGCCGGGGCAAGAGCCGGGCTCGGCACCGGAGCCGGGGTGGCTGCTGCCACGGGCGCGGCCAGGGGAACCTCGTCGTCTCCAGCGGCGGTCAGGGACACGGGCGTGCTCGGGCCAGGCGAATGCCGGCCCACCGGGGTGTCGGGAGACTCGAGCCCCGGCAGGACAGCCTCCCCCTCGGCGCCCGGCGACTGAACCGGCATCGGAGACAGGGGCTCCGAAGTGGCGGCAACAGCCGCGGCGGCGGCGCTGGCAGCAGCGGCGGCGGTAGCCGCCGCCGACCCCTGAGACCGACGGAAGATGGACAGCGGCCGAGGGGGCCGAGTGGCCGATTCGCGCCGAGAAGCGGCGGCGGCGGCCGCGGCCGCCGCGGCCGCCGCAGCAACAGCAGCACCTGCGGCCGGGCCATTGCCCTGCACTCGCAGCGGGATCTCCGAAGCCACGCGAGTCAACAGGCCATCCGTCGAGCAGATGTTGTCCAGCACGAAGCGACACAGGTAGATCCACTGGGTGTCGTTGTACTGCTGCATATACCCGGACAGGGTGAACAGCAGCAGGACCCGCTGGATGAAGGCAATGTGCAGCAGAGAAAGGCCCCCGGCTCGTTGGCCGGAGAGCGTCAGCAGCTCGCCCCGACACACGGCCGCTTGGTGCCGAGCCAGCGACGCAAACAGATGCTCCATGGCCTCCAGACCATCATGCTGGAAGAGGAAGAGACAAATCTGCGACAGCAACAGCACCAGCAAGTCCTCCACCTGGATGGCCATGAAGGACAGTGGCAGGGCGGCCGGCGGGGCCTCCATCATGTTGGCCAAGTCCGCGTGCCACTGGTGCGCGGTGCCGGTGCTGGCCGGCGCCGTGCGACTCGTGCGGCTCGAAGCCGGCGTCGAGCGCGGCCCCGGAGAAGCACCACTCACCGGGGACGCCGGTCCCGAGGTTTCGGCCTGAACCGGTGGCAGAGTGTCCACCGGCGACTCGACCGACAGTCGGGGGAGCTCGGTCGAGGCGGGCTCCTCCAGGAGGAACTCCTCCTGAGAGCCGGCCCCGGCCAGGGCATCCGAAGGCGGGGCATTGACATGGACCAAGTCCTCCAGGGGGAAGGGCGGCGCTGTGGGATCGACCGAAGTGAGTGGCAGCAGGCCCGAGGTCGAGGGGTTGGGCGGCGGAATCGAGGGCACATGCGGCGCCATGGCCATCGGCGGGACATCCGAATCGAAGGCCGCCGAGCACCGGGCCGGCGACGCGAGGAAGTCGCAAATGCGGGTGTACACCGCCGGCTGGGAGATCACCCGCAGCATGGAGTTCACAGCCGGACTATAGGGGTCTACACTGTCCGAGCGCTTGCGATGGGCAAAGAAGAAGACCATGATGCTGTTGATCACCTCATACCACAGGCAATTGGCGGCGGACGCCGCATTGCGAGGGAGCCACGCATGGCGTGGCGGCCAGGGCCCGGTATCGACATCGTCGCCGGTGGCTCCCGGCCCGGGAGCCGGGCGATCCGACGCGATGGTTACTGACTCCAGCAGATCCAGCACGGGGATCACAAAGTTGGCCTACATGTGTGAGTGAGTGAGTGTGTGAGTGTGTGTTTGTGAGTGTGTGTGTGAGTGAGTGAGTGAGTGAGCGAGTGAGTGAGTGAGTGAGTGAGTGGGTGAGTGTGTATGCGTGTTTGCATATATGCATGTATGCATATATGTGTGTGTTTGCGTATATGCATGTTTGCGTATATGCATGTTTGCGTATATGCGCGTTTGCGTGTGTGTGTGTGTGTGTCAGGAAAAGGGATGAAAGCATGTCTTCGAGAATGGAGGCAGGGGTAGACTGAACGCACGGCAATCGAGGCAGCATCCGGCAACTCCGGCATTCGGGCATCCGGGATGCTGTTGATCGGCTCATGACGCATCATGCGCAGGAGCGTGTCAAAGAGCTGATATGAGGAGGCTCGATAGCTGCGAAGCTGATGCCCAAGCGACGCAAACCCATCCGAATGGAGCAGATACCGAAGCACCGGCTCGGCCACAAAGTGGTCCTTCACATCGGCCCAGGAAACGGCGCCCGACCCCAGGGGATTGCCCTCGGCGAAGGCAGCACCGCCGGCCGCCCCGGCGGAAGAGACACCGGCACCGGCGCCGACAGTGGCTCCCCCGGCGCCGGAGGCTCCGCCGCCGGTTCGGCCCCCGCTGACGGGCGACCGGATGCCCGAGGAAAAGTGGATGTAAAGGTCCAAGATTTGCAGGAAGGCAATGCGCGTGTACAGCAGCGGGTGATCGATCATGGTGATGACATTGTCCACGGTCAGATGGAACATCAGCTGGTCGATGGCCGGTTGGCCATGCTTCAGCATCAGCTTCAGCACCGTGCTCAGGACCAACTCGCGCGCGGTTGACGGCTCCGATGGGGCGATCAGCAGCTGGTCCAGCGCGCCAATGCCAGCAGCATCGCCAGCCCCGGCCCCGAGCCCAATCCCAGGGCCGAGGCTGGGCGACCCGCCGATCGAGGACTTGACCGAGTCCTGGTGCGAGACAATCAAATACTCGGCGATGGCGTGGATGCCACTGGTGGTGATCTGGAAATTCAGGAAGCACGACAGGAGGTTGACGGTCTCGGTCAAGATCGGCAAGTTCTGGCTCCACGGACTGTCGCCCGGCGGCTCGGCAGCCGGCCCGGCGGTCGAGCCAGAGGGGGCGCCGGGATTCAGCGGAGACTCGCCGGATTCCAGGCCGTCTGGGGTGTCGATCTGCGAGCCTTCCACCACGCCCGGGCCACCGGCCGGAATGGTCACCACGACACTGGCGCCCGGGGCATCGGTCGGGCTGACAAAGGGAACCTCACTGCGTGCGTCGCAAATTTGAATCAGATCCAGCACCAGATCCAGCAGACCGGCCGCACTGAGCTGGTCCCAATTGGCCAGCGAAATGCTGTGCGCATAGGCCGTGGTGGCTGGCTGACTGGCCTCCGGGCTGATGTTGCAAGGGAAGGTCACAAGCTGGCGGATCTTGGCCAGGAGGCGCTCGCGCACGGTCACCCGCGCCCGGGACCAAATCCGCCAGTCCAGCAGCAGCAAGCGCGCCGGCTCGGGATCGGTGATGGCCAGGAAGAAGACATCCGGGAAGGCCTCCTGCGAAATGAGCGTGCAGCAGATCAGCAGCACCAACTGCAGCAGCGAGTCGTCCAGGGTCTCGGCCGGCAGGATGTCCCGCAGCAGGGAGGCCACCAACTCGAAGCCACGCAGGTCGGCGAAGCTCCGCGCCGCAATCGGATGCGCCCGAAGGACACTCCCCAGGAGGGCCAGGCAGCTGCGGAAGGCATGCGGCGCATGCGGACACCCGCCTGCCGCCCGAGTGGCAATCCGGCCGGCCATGTAAAGGATGGCATCCACCCCGCCAACGCCCATCAGCGTTTCGGCCAGGCTGGACACATGGACCACGGTCACATCGCCGGTGATGGTGCCGGACCGGTTAAGCAGCAAGGTCCGCGCGGTTGCCGAGCTTGGGGCCCGGCCGGCCAGCGGTGCCGCCCCCGGGCCGGGCATGTCGCCGCCGGTGGTAGATGCACCGGACCCGGCCAGCGGGATGGCCTGCTGCAGACGATGATCCCGCGCGTGGTAGAAGAAAGACAATCGCGCAGCAAGGTCCACCTGGCCATAGAGAACGGCCAAGTCCCGCAACGAATGCATGGATGATAGATCCAGCCCGGTGGTGGCAGCCGGCCCCGGCCCGGAGCCAGCCCCGGCGTCGGAGCCTCCCCCGAGCGAGTGCCGGTGGATGGAACCCGCCGGGATGGTGCCCGGGGACCCGATCGACACGCTGCTCGTGCGTGCCAGCCAGTTGAGCAGCACCTCGCTGGCGAATGCCGGGTGCGGCAATTGCGTCCGACCCAAGTCCGACAGGTCACCCGAATAGCTGGGCCCCAGGGAGTACAGCACAAAGGCGGCCGCCTCGCTGATCGCCTCATCGAAGGCATACATGCTGGCCAGATCAAAGGCACAGGGGAGGCTGCCATCCACGCGGCGATTGAAGAGCAGCACATTCGGCGGGGCCAGCAGCTGGGCATCCGTGTGCTCCGACCCGAAGAGGGTATACCGCGGTGCGGGGGCGGCGGCGGCGGCGGCCGCGGCCGCGGCCGCTGTGCCGGCCACACTGGCCGGCCCATCGCTCGGCTGCTCGCCAGGTCCCGATACCGGGGCCACCAACACCCGGACTCCATTAACCCACACATCCGGGTGCCAGGACGCCTCGGACCCGGCCTCGATGCTGAAGACCACATGGTACCAAACATCATTCTGGAAGCCGGCCGGCGCGGAGAACCGGAAAACCACCGTCGGGCCGAGGGCAGCGGCCAGTGGGACGGCAGCGCCGGCGGGACCAGCGCCGGCCAGGCCGCCCGGCGGCGTGGTGGCCAGGGCAACGTCCATCCCCTGGCGATGGAGCGACGTCGACACCAGGACAGCCTCGCCCGGATCGGCGGGCCCCCCCCCGGTGGCCGCCGGCCAGCAGGACACCTGGAACAGGGAAAGCACACTGCCGGAGTTCAATTGATCGGCCGTCGGACCGGTGAGTCGGAACCAAATGCCGAAGGCCAGCCCGGCCCCGGGCCCCAGGGGAGGCCAGGTGATTTGCCGGGTCAGGGGGAAGCGCAACGTCGGATGCACCTCCTCCAGCCGGTGGAAGGCCGTATGGAACCGGGGCTCCGGCGGCCAGCTGCTCAATTGCCCGGGGCGCGTGCCGCAAATGGCCAGCAGTGGTTCCAGCGTGGCCGGCGCAAAGTCCGACCGGTGTGCCAGGTCCAGAGCCAGGCGCAGCTCGGCCGGCCGCAAACGATGCCGAGTGATCCGTCCCACCAGGTCCACGATGCGGCGCTGCACCAGCAGCGCGGCCACCGACCCCGGCAGACCACTTGGCATGAGGAACACCGGCTGGAAGGATGTCAAGAGGACCCCCACCAGGCCGTAGTCCGACAGAAGCAGGCGATTGCGGATGTGCGCCCGGGCCAGCACGGCCACCTGATCCAACACGCAAACCACCAGCAGCTTGGTGCACACGAAGCGGCTGCTGCTCAGAGCCAATGGATCGCTCTTCCGACCGGATGCCGGCAGACAATTGCCGACATAGAGGCTCGACAGGATTTGCACCACCGAGCCCACCAGCTCCGGCAGTTCCAGCAGGACCGCCCGCGTGGCGGCCAGGCTCGACTCGGCGCCGGGATTGCTGGCCGAATGGCCGGCCGATCGGGCCCGAGCTGCGGAGCTGTTGCCAGCACCCCCGGGCCCGGTCCCGCCCAGGGCCAGCCGGGCACTCATGTGCAGCGACGGCGACAGGGCCAGGGTGTAGGGCTCGAGGAAGTCCGCAAAGAGCCCGGCCGGACAGCCAGCCAGTGGGCTGGTCAGCACATGGCGAATGGCCGCCTGGAGACCGGCCGAGGCGGCTGCCGAATTGGCCGCCGCCTCGGCATCGCCAGGCCCATCGCCAGCCCGAAGGAGGTCCACCACATTGAACCGGAAGTCGCCGATGGCGATGTCAGCCTCCTCCGCGGTGTCGGAGGGAGAGCCCGCGGTCGGGCCAGCAGCCGGGGCATCGGTCCCATCGAGGAGATCCAGCCGCCGGACGGCTTCCAAAGCACCCGACGCCCGGCGAGGGAAGTATCGCGCCACCAGGGTCTCCGCCATGACCCCATACCGGATGAGCATGTGGGCCCTGGCACCGGGCCGGTTGGCCGCCATGCAGGCATCACCCAGGGCCAGGCATTCCTCCAAACCACGGAGGCCGACAAACAGATCCAACATCCAGTGCAGGGGCATGGGGAAGAGCCCGGCCGGGGCGGTGGCCGCCTGCCGCTGGAGGTAGAAGCGGAACCCGGCCCGGACAATGGGCGATCCCTCGACACACGGGCCAAAGTACCCGACCAGGCGCTCGGCCGAGCGCGACATGCGCGAATATACCTGCAGGCGAAGGCGAGCCGGCAGGGACAGCCGGTGTGCCAGTGACCGAGCCAACCGCCGGCCAGAGGACATGGCGATCAACTCGTCGGCCTCCGGGTCAAAGCCATCGGCCGGCCGACCCCCGCCTGCCGCCTGGCTGTGCGCATCAGCCGGAGTATCCAGGAAGGGCCAGCGTTGGCGCACGGCCATGTCCATCAGTGCCTCGACCACATCCAGCACGCGCTCCGGCTCGATCAGATGGCACACGGCCGCCAGCGAATCGGTGAAGGCCGCCGCCCGGCCCGAATGGCGGATGTCCTCCCGGTAGAGCGAGGCCGCCGCTGGTGACAGGTCCGAGCTGGCCTTCAAATTTTCCGACAACATGTAGAGCACATGAATGAGCAGGTCCACCACATCCCCGGGGACCGTCGTGCCGGGCGACCGGTCGGCACCGGGGCCGCCCTCGGCAACTGGGGCATACTCAGCGCGCAGAGCCACAGCCATGTGATTGACAAAGGCAAAGGCAAAGTCAAAGCCAAAGTTGTGGAAGAAGAAGGCCTTGGCTCGCTCATTGACCACGGCGATGCGCGTCAGTGACCGGCAGACGGCCGTGCGCAGGCTCAAGGCCCGTGGATGCAGCCACCCGTCCACCACCAGGGCCGGCGGCTGGACGGGCTCCAAGTGCGTGACGACCTCGCCCGGCGCGCGCAAGTCCGGCGACGGGGCACCCGCAGGGTGCCGGTCCGGCGACAAGCCGCGCTCGGTCTCAGCCACCGGGGCCCGGCTTGGCTCCGTGCAGAACATAATCCGAATGAGCCCGGCCACCAGCAGGCAGTCCGAGTCGGAGCTTCGCGATGCCTGGTGCTCAATCAGACACAGCAGGTGCGGCATGCACTCACGCGACACGGTCACCTCGGCCGAGTCCGTCGTCGACCCGGCCAGATGCAGGAGATCCAGCAGGCCGACGATGCTGGCCCGATGCCCGGACAGATCCAGGGTCCCATGCAGCAGCCGCAGCAGGGTCAGCACCTGGAGCACCTCACTCACCAGCTCCGCCCACAGGGAGGAGCTGAGATCCTGGGCCAGGCGCTGAACGGCCGCCGGGTCGGCTCCGGCCCCGGCCAGGGCGGCCCCAACATGCCGGCGAATGAGAGACCGATTGGCCAGGAACCCGACATGCAGCTGGGTCCGCGCATCGGCCAGGGGGGTGGCCCCGCCCGGGCCCGGGGCGCTGGCCGAAGGCTCGGACAGCGACGTGCCAAGGGACTGCGGCTCGAGGGCGGCATTGTGCAAAACCGCCAGGAAGTTCTCCACGACGGCCGGATGGCCGGAGGTGGCGGCCGCATCCTGGAGGCCAGCCGCAAAGGGATCCGCGAAGGAGGCCGGCGGAGTGGCCAGCACATTTGAAAGGAGGGCCGCCAGCAGGGCCGCCGGAACCGTCTGATTGATGGGCTGCCCGATGAGCGAGTAGAACATGTGGTGATTGTCGGCCAGGCACTGGCGCAAGATGCGCAGAGCCAGCAGGGCGGTGGCGGGGGCGAAGGCCGGCGAGTTGACTTTCGAGACCACACAGCAGGGCGCAAGGCAGGGAGGGGAGGGGAGGGGAGGGGGGGGGGGGAGGGGGGGCAGGAAGATCAGTAAGCCGGGGCAACCTTCGCCAAGAGGCCCAGGGGGTCAGACAGCGGGGGCAAGGGGGAAACACACTGTCAAAGAGGGCGCAGAATGGCGCAAAAGCCCAGTGGGGCTGGGTCACCATGGAGTTCTCGGATTGCGAGATGGCCAAACGAATGGCCTTCTCCTGGACCTCCAGGTCCAGCAGGGCCACCCCATCGAAGAGCATGGACACGATGTACTCCGGCGGCAGGACATTCAGGCTGAAGTTGCTCTGGCGAGATGCACTGGCCAGCAGGGCCAGGATGGGCAGCTGGATGCATGTGTGGGCCGCCTGCTTGAAAACCGAGAAGATGCACCGAATTGGGAGCAGGGCATTGACAGCACTTTCCCCCTGATGAGAGGGCGATGCGCCGATGGGCTCGCCCGATCGGGAGTGTCCGGGGTCTGGTCGAGGAGGGGGAGAAGGAGGAGGAAGGGGGAAGACATGCAGCAGCAAAGGTCAGGATCTCGGCGAAAAAAGGAAGCGAGAGCGAGAGGGAGGGAGGGGGAACCGCAGGAGTCACTGTGCAGGCGCACCCTGATCGAAGAAGGTGAGCGCCACACGGTACAGCTTCCAAAGTTGATCGACAAGGATGATGGGAGAGGTGAGCTCCTCTTGACGCTCCAGGCGACCGCACAGCGAGACAATCGCATGCCAGCCTGAGGGGGGAGGGGGGGGAAGTGAGCACCGAAAGGGGAGAGAGAGAGAGAGAGAGAGGGGGGGGGGGCCGAGGCCGCGAAGTGTGGAGTTAGTCAAGCGGCGTGGCAGTTGGCCGGGGAGAAAAAAAAAGAGGGCGACGGTGCGAGCCACACACCGTTGCTTGTTGTCATTTCGCGGAAGGAGGACGGCGAGATGGCGGACGAGCTAAGCACGATGTCCGTCAACAGCATGGCGATGATCGTCAAGAGCCGGGTGGTCCCGGCATCAGGGGATCGATCCAGGAAGAACATCACCTGCCGATAGGCGGGGGGGGGGGGGGGGAGACAAGGCAAGGAGCGTCAAGATGGGCATGTGAGCCTTGCACCAGGGCCAAGCAGCAAACGTGCGAGAGGGATGGGCCGAACCTTGGCCAGGCGGCTGCTGATGCGAACCGAGGAGATCAGCTCGCCGGCAAACATCTCCGACAGGATTGTGGAGGAGATCGACCGCAGGAGGGCCAGAGCCAGGATCTTGGTGTCCGCCGAGAAGGCAAAGCCTGCTGGCAGCGGAACACCCCAGATGAAGGGGTCCGTGGTGGCCGACGAGTCGGACGCCTGTAATGGGACAAAGGGCAGCAGGGCAAAAGGAGGTCCAGGACGGTCAGCGGAGCAAGAGGCACGAGGGTGATGTGGTCAAATGCGCCCCGCGCGGACAGAGGAGCACGCACGCCATCCTGGAGGATAAATACCACCAGCTCGATGAGCTGATCGTAGGCCTGAACCAGGCGACAGGACACCAGATTCCTGAAGGTGAGCAAGATTTTGGCCATCGCAGCGGTAGCTTCTGCGAGGGTGTGCGGACCATGGGGAAGTGTCAGTGAAAGAGCAAGAAGATGGACAGAAGGAGGAAGAGGGAGCAACGGGGGGAACGGGAGACGGAGGGTGCGCCGCTCAGCGGGTCCGGCGATGAGGGATAGGCAGATGCAGCAGCAGCAGCGAGAGAGAGAGAGAGAGGGAGAGAGAGGGAGAGAGAGAGAGAGGGAGAGAGAGGGAGAGAGAGAAAGAGAGCTCAACGCACCATCAGCCCGGGCGGGGGCATTTGCGAAGAGGAATTTGAAGAGGAAGTGCAAAGTCGAGTAGATCCCCGGCGGAAGGGAGGCAGCATGAGCAACAGACGCCTGGGAGATGGACATCAGGTGAGGAATAGGCCGGGCCAGAGGAGCGGCAGCGAGGGGCAACAGGAAAATGGAGAGAGGGAGAGAGAGAGAGAGAGGGAGGGAGAATGACGGCCTCCGGCTCACACACCGAGTGCGAAAGGAGGGCAATTGCTGCAAGCAGCTGGGCACCGTCCCAGTGAGTGAAGGGATTAGCCGGGTTATGCAGGTCGACCGGGGGCGCGGCCCCGAGGAGGAAGCCCAGGAGCTTGAGCTGGCCATCGGAGCGCAAATCGCACGTCGACCCCATGGCGCCAGGCGCAGGCGGCACCATCGGCGACTGGTCTTCCGCCAACAGGCGGATGGTGGCCGCCAAAAGGGCCAAGCATGCCTGCTCCAACAAGAACCCGCCCGAGGGAAGCAACAGCAGGAGGCTGTCCTTTGTCAGGAGATCCTCAACCGGGAGCAGGTCAAACACGCTCGCCAGGCCGTCCCCTGGCGGAAGTCCAGCCAGGCATGCTCGCAAGACCGACCGGTGTGCTTGACCGACCGCCTGCAGTGGGCCCGGCTCGGTCCCGTGCGCGGGCCGGGTGGTCATCGCCACCAGTGGCTCACAGGGAGAAGAGGGAGGAGGAAGGGAGGCGGCTGGCGAGGGGCAGAAGGCCAAGGAGAAGGTGACGGACGCGGGCCCGGGCGGAATGGGCAGGGGGCCGGAGGGCGGGGGAAAAAGCGGGCCCAGGGGCAAGGGCGATGGGAGGGCCGGCGAGGGGCAGGGGGGCGAGGGGAGGCAAGAAGGAGGAGAAGCGGAGGGGAGGGGGGGGGGGGGGGGGGAGATGCGTGGAGAGCCTGCTTCTCTGCCCCCACCCGGCGGGCCGCAGCATGTCGGCACTTGAGAAAAACAAACAACTCCGCCGATGGATGCATCATGTGACACAATTCGTTACAATTTAAACCCACGCCCTGCGGCCCGGCCCCGCCGTGTCCCTTGTCCATCTGCCAGGGAATACCGCAGGAGGTGGCAGGTGAGAGAGAGGGGGGGGGTGATGGTCGGAGCCGCGCCCGGGGGGGCCGGCGG